GGGGGGGGGAATTAATTACTCCCTATGCTATCCAAAACAAAAACATTTTTTTGGCTGGAGTTGCACTTAAAAAAATGTACCTGTTCCAACTTACATACAAATTCAACTTAAGAACAAACCTACAGGCCCTATCTTGTTCGTAACCCGGGAACTGCCTGTACTCAGCAAATGTGATGTGACAAAAGACTTCATAATATAATATGTTATATCAAAAGTGATGAGACATTGAAACACACACAATGCAAAAAAATTACAATTCTTCACATATCTCTGATTATTCTTTAAACAAGTTCTAGGACTTGAGGGGAAATACTTCAAATTAAAAAAAAAAAAATTATGTCACAAGGGTCGTAGCCTTTCCTCAAAATAGTCAAATGGCCAACTATGTATATGGCATTGCAGAAGGGAGCAGAGACATACCACAGCAAGCACATCTCACCAAGAGAGTTATAAGTAGCTGGTGGGTTGTTTCTTTTAAAGCTCCAGACTGCAAAGCCATCACACTTATCCTGGTGCATTATTTTTTTTTTCAAATTCTTTATTTATAAAGGCATGCGAGGCACGCCCCACAAAATACAGCCAAATACAATCCTGGTGCATTATTGACCTGGAACAAACATGAAGCCAGTGACGGGTAACAAGACCAAACTCACAAAAAGACATACCCAAGAGGCGCTGGATCCCCAACCCATATTTATTCAAAAGAATGAAGGGAACATAATCATTTTACTAGTAACAGGAGCGCCAAACCAAATGGCAAGAGTCCAAATCTCTTCAATGGTTCATAGTATGATCACATACAACAGCCAACGTGCTTTAGGTATAAAAACCAATCCTTAGATACAGATGTGTCTGGTAATTCGCATTACCAAGTCCATTAAAGCTCTGACAAAGCTAAGCCCCGATGAAGGGGAGTGGCTTGGCCTCTGAAAACGTATTGGCTTTTTTCTGTGATCATACTAGGAACCTGCTCTTTGATCATGCCTAGACGATCAGAACTGATACATTTCACGCAAAAGATACATTGTATCTTTTGCGTGAAATGTATCTAAACATCGGCTCTCGAGCTGTCAAAACCAATAGCAGAGAGGTGAGTCACTGCTGCCTCTCTGCTATTTTCAGCTGTCAAATACAGGATCGCAAATTGCGGTCCTGTATTTGCATGTAACGGCTTCATTCTTTCATTACTGAAAGGAAGAAGCTTCTACAAAAAGCTTAATTATTTCATTAATGAATGCCTCAATACTGAGGCATTCATTAATGACTGGCAACTGCTGAGAATCAGCTGTTACCAGCATTACAAAGCCTGATATAACTCGTCACGTACAGTGCACGTGGCCAGTCATATAGGCAGAAAGTACACTGTACGTCTCCCGTCACAAAGGGGTTAAAGTGACATTAAACCCTCAGATTTTTTAACATAAACCAATACTGTAATGTGTGCCTTACTGTAATCCATGGTTGTTTCCTTTCTCTTTGCTGCTCTTCCTTTTAAATCCTCATGTCTTCTCATGCTGGGGAGAACTTCCGTTTTGCAGCTGTCTGCCTCTTCTCTAGAATGTTACATGGTGTCTGTGTGCGCGCTCTCGACCTGAGCCAGGACTACAGGATGACGTCCTCCCGACATCCACATCCCCGCCCACTTTAGATTGGCAACAGCTGCTGCCTGCATGTGCTGTTTTACTCTTTTCTGCTGTGTTCGTGACTGATCGATTCTCCGAATCAGAGCGAGGTATTTTTTTTTAAAAACAAACTTTATTGCTTATGTTTTCTCATAAACAACCTATTCATTGCATTGTGTACTGTGTGAGGGCTGAACTAGCCCTTAGGATTACATTGCTCATACTTTGAATTGTACTTTCAATACAATGAATAGGTGGTTTATGAAAAACCATAAGCAATAAAGTTTGTTTAAAAAAAAATAAAAAAAATACCTCGCTCTGATTAGGAGAATCGATCATACACAAACACAGCAGAAAATAGTAAAACAGCACATGCAGGCAGCAGCTGTTGCCAATCTAAAGTGGGCGGGGATGTGGATGTCGATAGGACGTCTTCCTGTAGTCCTTGCTCAGGTCGAGAGCGCGCACACAGACACCATGTAACATTCCAGAGAAGAGGCAGACAGCTGCAAAACGGAAGTTCTCCCCAGCATGAGAAGAGATAAGGATTAAGGCTGGGTTCACACCTAGGCGTATCAAATATGCGCATTTGTCGCACCTTTCGTGTCGCGTGATCCGTGGTAAAAACGTGCGTTTCCGAGGACTACTTGGCTGTATCCCAATGGAAACGCGCAACAAAAACGCCCCAAAGAAGCTCCTGTACTTCTTTAGGCGTAGGGCGTTTTGTAGCGCGTTCATACGGCCTGTAATACGCCCAGGTGAGAACCATACCCATAGGAAATAATGTGTTTTTCGGTGTTTGAGCGTTTTGCAGAGCGTAGGAGCGCGCTACAAAACGCCCAGGTGTGAACCGGCACTTAAAAAGGAAGAGCAGCAAAGAGAAGGGAAACTACCATGGATTACAGTAAGGCGCACATTACAGTATTGTTTTATGTTAAAAAATCTGAGGGTTTAATGTCACTTTAAAGTAATTTGGACTCTTTCACCATTTGGTTTGGTCCCCCTGTTGTATTTTTATGCTTTGAAGCTCAAACTCGCGTCCTGCACACGTTCCAGGTCAGTTACTCACTAGGACAGCCCCACAGCCTGTACTTTTAAAAACAAGGTAACAAAAGCCACACACATCTGCTCCGATAAAACCAAGTTCCTTGACAAGTAGAGAAAACAACGTATTCTCAGTCTCAGCAGCCAACACTAACTAAGGATTGGTTTCCAGGAATTGTGCGCTTGTTTCCAGGTATAGTGACCCGATCAAAGAGATTGCAAAGTCAATATACGGGAGAACTTGATTTCAAAGTCTAGTTTTGTTGTATGGCATTGGTCCCGAGGACTTGACACACTGGCAGGTATAGTTAGGGAAGGGAGAAATGAATATGATTTTCAACTTATGATGAAAATATCCATTTGTATGAAATGTAACCAGATCAGATGAAGCCGTGCCATACTAATGCCACCAACCCATGAAAGGTAATAATCCTTTAAAGCACAAAGGCTTTTACTTTAGTGGACGGCCCTCTCACACTTTAGCACTGCACTGATGCACATTTGTTAACACCCAGTGCTGCCAAAATTACAAAGAACCTCCTAATCACGATGTGATAAGACAGCCCAATAATTTTGAATGGGCAGCCAACGTACCACAACACAGCCAAAATGCCATTCAAAATTGTTGTGCTCTGCTGCGGCATGTGATGCAGAGATGCACGGGGTAGGTTACACTTAATTAAGAACCTGTCACCAGTCAATATCTGTAGTAATCAGATTATTTCTTCTTGAATTGTTATAATGATGCAGCATTACCTCTGGATGACTACTTTATTAACTCACATTGCCTCCCAGTCACAGTGGAAATGTCAGGCTGTCCTATCTCCTCCCAGAGCTCAGTGCCAGTAACAAACTGAAAATACTGACATAAATAGAAGCTGCTGACAGAATTACAGAAAACAAAGCTAAGTCTTTGTTAAATGACAGTTTTACCCTTCTGCAGCAGCCTGGTGCCAGTAACCAATCTTGAGCTCAGAAAGGAGATAGGTCAACCTCCATGAGGCTCTTACAGACTGACACTGGTGTGACAGGTAGAGAATACAAGACAGGAGCTAGGTCAGCCTCCATGAGGCTCTTACAGACTGAGACTGGTGTGACAGGTAGAGAATACAAGACAGGAGCTAGGTCAGCCTCCATGGGGCTCTTACAGACTGACCCTGGTGTGACAGGGAGAGAATACAAGACAGGAGCTAGGTCAGCCTCCATGGGGCTCTTACAGACTGACCCTGGTGTGACAGGTAGAGAATACAAGATAGGAGCTAGGACAACCTCCATGAGGCTATCACAGACTGACCCTGGTGTGACAGGTAGAGAATACATGTGAGCAGCAGCACACATCCACACCCTGAGAGATCAGGCTGCACTATTAAAACAAGAGTGGAGATTCAGTTCAAATGACCTGGCTGCTCCTCCAAGTCCCCACATCATCTCTGGCTTGTAGTTGTACTGCAGATAGAGGGCTGTGTTGACTGACTGAGGCACAAAATGTGCTCTTCTTGAAGGTAACAAAGTAGGAAAATTAAAAGGTGATGCTTACAGGTACCTGGCTGGAGAGGGCGAACGTGCTGGCAGGACTCTTCTTTTTACTGTTGCTGTTATTTGTGTTGCCCCCTCCAGAGCTCATTGTGCTCCCTCCAGACATCTTCCTTTTCCTCCTCTTATTGGGGGCCTGTCGGGCTGGCTCAGCTGCAGGAAAAACAGGACAGGTTTATATATATATATGGCTGTGCTGCACAGGAAGAAAGGGTAAGACAACCATAATGAACATGTTTTCTCACCAGGTGGAGCTACCATCCTCTGCCATTTCTGAAAGAGACAAGTCTTGAGGCAATCACGGGGACTTAAACTGTACGTCTTGTGTCGGGACATGAGCTCCTGCATCGGCTCTAGAATTACACAGAGCTGAGAGGGAGAGAAGAATCATCAGTGCCCAAAATACTTTTTAATATGCAACATGAAAGAGTACCTGTATTATTATTTGTCTGTATTCTGGGACAAACAACTGTATTCTGCGACAAGCAGATATCCAAGCCTAAAACAGACATCAAATTCCAGGCACCCTTTTTATGCACATTCTGCTTTCTTTGAACAGGGGACGTGATGTACACTATATGGCCAGAAGTAGATGGAAGCCCCTCTAAACCGAGTTCAGGTGTTTCCAGTGAAGGGTACGGTTAATACTACAACATACAAAGACATTTCATACATTTATACTCTTCCAACCTTGTGCCAACAGTTTGGGGCAGGCCGTTTCCTGTTCCAGCATGACTGTGTACAAAGCCAGTTCCATAAAGACATGATTTGTGGAGTTGAATGTGCCAGAACTCAAAGTGGCTTGCACAGAGCTCTTACCTCAACCCTACTGAACACTTTTGGGATGAACTGTAAAAAGGTGACTGCAAGCCAGGCTCACCCAGCATCAGTACCTGACCTCACAAATGCTCTTCTGGCTGAATAGGCACAAATTCCCAAAGGCGCACTCCAAAACCTTGTGGAAAGCCTTCCCAGAAGAGTGGAGGTGGATATAGCCGCAAACAGGGGGTCAACTGCACATATAGGTGTGACGGTCAGGTGTCTATAAACTTTCAGGCATATAGTATAGCTTAAAGAATTACATTTTTTTTTTTAAATCTCCAGATTTTCGACCTTGCCTTGTTTAGTCACTGCAGCTGAAGACGTTACTCAAGTTTATAAAAGCATCAACCAACAGGACTCAACGCAGCGCAAATGTCTTGAGAATTCATCAAATACTGCTCAAGTATCTGCACATGATATAAATGTGTTGTCTGGAGAGAAAACTCATCAAATACATTTATATAATATGCAGATACCTGGGTTGTGTTGTCTGGAGAACTCGTCAAATACAGCTCAGGCACATTATATAAAATGTATTTGACGGGTTCCCCAGACAACACATTTATATCATGTGCAGATGCCGGAGCTATATTTGATGAGTTCCACAGACAACACATTTATACAATGTGCAGATACCAGAGTTGCATTTGAGGAGTTCTCCAGACAACACAGGTCTAGATACCCGAGTTAAATTTGAAGAGCCCTCCAGACAACACAACTCGGGTATCTGCACATTATATAAATGCGTTGTCTGAAGAACTTGTCAAATACAACTCTGGTATCTGCAAATTATATAAATGTGTTGTCTGGAGAAGCTCCAGTATCTGCACATTATAAAAACGTGCTTGATCTGAAAAACACATAGCACAGCTTCCTTACTCGGAGGTAGTTGAGTGTAGAGTTCGAAAGTCCACATCTTGTGATGTTCTTTGACAGCTGGTCCAACATTTGTGGGTCCTGGGCCTAAAAGGTTAAAGATGAAATTCAGATGGCAAATCAAAAAATGGTGGCGGATCTATCAAGTGCCAGTCCACCTCTGTTGCTTCAGAAACAAAAGATCATTGATGTATCACTTTAAGCCCTCGTTCACACCTGAACGTTTTGTAGCGCGTTCTACGCTTGACGAATGCTCTACAAAACACTCAAAAATATAAATCCCATTGTACTCAACGGTCTCGTTCCCACCTTGGCGTTTTTCCGCCCGTCCCTAACGGGCTACAAAACGGCCCACGCCTGAAAAGGTACATGTACTACTTTGGGCCGTTTTGTTGCGCGTTTCCATTGGGATACAGCCAAGTAGCCTTCGGAAACGCGCGTTTGTCGCGCGACCTTTTTACCGCGAATCGCGGTAAAAAAACGGGCGACAGACGCGCATATGCAATACGCCTAGGTGTGAACGAGACCTTTCGGACATGTTTCTTCATCAGTTTAAGTGATCTATTTTTTCATACGTGACATCTACGTTCTGATCATTTTCTTTTCAAATAAATGTATTGGTTTTTGTAAAGAAGAAAGGAAACACAATTGTATTATACACAGTGTGTATGTACTGCGTACAAAGTACAGATTCTGGTCTTTAGTGTACTTACATGCATGGCAAGGATACTGCGGGGAATGAGTTCTCGATGTTGCCGGATGCTGAAATGCCACGTTTTTATCCTCATCATGTCATCAAACATGAACTCAAGGTATAACCGCCCCTCTACGCACACCTACAGACACAATTTAAATGGAGTTGTGTAAAATGCATCAAAAAAGACAATATTTAATCTAAGCAAATAACAATGCAAAGAGTAAATCCACATGACAAAGACACTGCTAAAATAAAAAAAAATTGATAGGCGGAAGGGAATTTTGGTAGAAGGGACATGCAAAGTCTCTGGTGCCAGAAAACATCTTTCCCCTTGCAATTTTTTATTTTACGTGTACACTGTACAGTGCATGTGCCAGGGGTTGTGTAACCCCTCTGTGTGTGCACAGGAGCATCATCGGTGGACAACTAGGAAACCGGAAGCAGCAGTGTGCAGAGTCTGCAATGCCCAGCGCTCGATGCACCAACCAGCACATAGTGGTTTAATACCACTTTAAAACATGACGATTTGACAGAGACACTTCGCCCAGGACAAGAACGCAGAACAGAATAGTCAGAGCAAAGTTAAAACTCCATACTTGTTCAAGGGATGTGCCTCAAGAAAGTGCCAAATCATTTGGATCTGCATGGCCAGGGAACTAGCATTTTTCAGAATAAGGTGTGAACAATGTCCTCAGGACAACAACAGGGGGGTGAATATTTCCTAATGGGAACCCAGTTAAAAATAAAAAAAACTTGACAGTGGATCTGACCAATTTGACACCATCAAAAACATCCAACTAGATATACACTGAGTACAGAGTTTCCTTCGAAACCGTAGCTGTCTGAACCGTGACTGACCACTAGATGTCACCCCTGATATGTAATTAAACTGCCGGCCCAGATCCGCAAGCAGCAGCTCCAGTGATGATTGGTTACCAGGTCCATTGGGTGCTGTTCACAGTACAATCTTCATATCAGAAACAAATAACTACACTCAAGTGTGAAAGTATGAAGGCCACCATTGCTGACCTCTCCTTCTGGAAATGCTAGATGCCTGACTGCCATGGTGATTAAATTGCTTCAATGGTTTTTGAGTCACTGGAATAAATATGCAGATCAGGAACTGAGAGAGCACTTTACATGCTGCATGCTTTGTTTTGGGCAGCAATTTGGTAAAAAACAGAAACAACCAGAAACATCAAGGCAACAAGCAGGAGGTTAGCAATAGTAGCAATGGTTGGATTTCTCAAGTTCCTTTACAAGACTCCAAAATCCCTCTGCTTTGACTGAATCCCAGGCAAAGCTTAGGGACTTCTAGATGACGTAGAAACTTGTTGGCCAGTTCCTGGCAGCTACACATTCCTAATGGGCACACTGAGGAAAGGAGGAATGGTCAGCTAAATCTATAAAGGGGTATGTTGGACTTCTGCAGAGAGACCACTGCTTCCACACAGAGAACAAGGGTCCTTCTGTGCAGTATGGCTTTTCTACCCAGGCTGTGACTGCTTTCTAAAGAAAATTTCCTGTAAGACTGTGCACACCTTTTGTTTTCATGCACCTGAAGCTATGCAGCTCAGTGAAGACTTGTTTTAGGCCCCATTCACACTGAGCGATTTATTGTGCAGTAATCCACGCATTATCGCGCATATTTACCGAGCAATATCGCTCTCCAATGCATGTCAATGCGGCTCTGTTAGTCGCTACAACAGGACCCTTTTTGGAGCAGATTCCGGCGCGATTCTACTTTGCTCAAGGCAAACGGCGAGATATCGCGATTTGCGATACGCTCAGTGTGAATGGGGCCTAATGCTCATTTACAGTTCTACATTAAGGCACGTGTGATCCACAAACCCACTATGTACCCAGTGGCCTCACTTACCTGTGTAAACATGGGCTTTCCATGCTGTGTGACCATTGTGCACTGATCGCAGTCAAGGGAAACAAAGTTATTGTGGAATGACTCCTTGGGGTGTTTGAGGACGTAGTACAATTCTGTGGCCCCACCCTCAAATATGCTGCGGAAATACCGGGGAATAAGCGTCCTTCCAATTGCTAGAGGGAAAAACAAAAAAGGAGAGACCCAGGTCTCACACACGTCATGAATTTCACAAATGCTTAGGCTGGCTATATACCTATCAATTTTTTTTCGTTCAACCCGCAGACTGAATTACAAAAATTGACCTGATTCCTCCAACACAAACATCGTGTTGATCGAGGAATCCCCGCTGTTTACATTGTATTCTGACTGGTGCCACTGGAACCTGTCAGAATACCCGATCAGAGCGGGCAGCTCATTGGCTGCCAGCTCTGATCAATCGAAAATTTTCCAGCCGGCTCCTATGATCAGCTGATCGATGAATGCCGGCTGAAAGGGAGCCAACAGCCCCCACACACTGTGCGAATTTCAGCAGGTACAATAAAAACCGGCCGAAATTCAAGCAGTGTATGGGCACCTTAAACCTTCTGTGTTACCCAGAGGCTGGCAAGCAGAGCTTTCTAGTTCCTCAGTAGATGGGCTGCAGAAGCAAGGGTCTCAGAGGGCCTTAGCTGTCCCTAAAAAGATTTTAGCCTAAATTTTAGGAAGAAAAAAAGATCAAAATGTGTTTTAAAAGACAACTTGTTTGTACGAAATCCCCACTGGTAGCAGAATGAGACCTGTAATAATAGTTTGTGTACATCCTTCTAATGCAATGCAGCAAACTTACAGCAGTGGCTAAGAATCGATCATACAGAAAACTCGATCAGTATTGTAACCCTCACCCTCCCGAAGGAGCTGCTGGGATTTAACGGGCTCTCCTGCCTTTCTAAGGCTGGTCATACACCTATAGATTATCTGCAGACTTTCTATGGTCAGATGGAAAAAGTGCAACAGATTCCTCCACCTACGCTAAACTGTGTGGATGGAGGAATCTCCCGCTGGGCCAAGCTTCAGTATCTTGCTAGTCGGCCCCGCTGGCTGTCAAAATACCTGAACAATGGTATTGATTGTTCAGGTGTTGACTTGAATGGCCCGCCACGCCCCCTCCTGCCCCACTAAAAAGTGAGCCGGCCACAATGCAAGGCAGTGTGTTCTGGCCCAAATCGGGCCGGAACGCACAGCATCTAGTGTGACTGAGCCCTTAGAGAACACACAGTAGCAGGCAGATGCAACCAATGTACTGGGCTTAGAAGAAATGCAGCGAGCACCAGTTACATAAAGAAAGCTCAGGCTGGCTACAGCCTATCTGTAACACTAAATTTGGTTAAGGACTCTCCAGGATCCCTACAGCTGAATACTTTCAGGAGGAAGGCGAGCAGTAAAAAGGGGGCTTTAGAAGAAATGAGCCTCCAGAAATGTATATGCATGCTTCTTTTTGCAGGTATATTTTACATTGGATTGGGGGCCTGGAAGAACGCTCATTGACCTTGGCTGGGGGAGAGGAGTTTAAAGTATATCTACAGATGATCCTTTTTTGTGTGTCTGTTTATGGGTATTAGGGAATGTTATAAAACCTGTAACATTTATATTTACTTTTTTTGGGGGTATCTTAAGGACAACGCCCTTTACTTCCTGTTCCAGGGACAGAAAACAGAAGTGCGAGGAAATGTGTCCAAAATAAGGGAAAATCCTCTCTCAGACCGCTGTCACCTGAACAGCGACCCCCACTAAAATATTACTCACTTCCTATTTCAGTGACAACTGTATAGTTTCATATTTACCATCACTTGGAAGATGGCCCCCGCAAATAAGGAATGCCCCCAAGATGAAACAAGACAGCAATCCTTTAGGGTACAGAGCGAAAACTGAAAGCCCATTGGCTGCTATTTTTTCTCAGCTTTGCTTTTTGTTGGGTAACAAAGTCAGAGTTTATCAGGTTAGCTGCATCTGAGGCTGCAAGGATGGCAACCAACAGGGAGGAGAACTCACTGTATCTCTTTGGTCCATCTTCCAAGCAGAAGGTGATGGTCAACATGGCGTCATCTTCAAAGAACTCTGTAGTGAAAGCATCCCACCAGAGATTATCACATTCCTGCAATCAGAAGAGAGGCGTTAATTGCATCATTCAAAAGCCACCACACTACACACAAAATTTACCATTCATACATTGTGCAAATAAGCATCAGACTAAAGGGCTTCCAGGGCTGGATTTCCATCATCATTCCCCTGCGCCGCATTTAATGCGCAGTCTAATAACAGGGTTAAATGTAAAGCTCCTAGTAGCAGGAAGCATGTGTCATTTGTCACCCTAGACCCTTGGTTCTCAACTGGTGGGTCGTGACCCAAAAGTGGGTCGCGACCCCATGTTCAGTGGGTCGCCGCATGGTTTCCACTTTTCTAGGTGAGAGGCTCCCCAGCCTCCCCCTAGCACAGAACTGTTCACTCTCACACCGAGCAGCTATTCAAAATATGCTGTCTGGCGCCAAGTGTTGACTTGAGGTGGGCTGGGGGCATGGCAGCGAGGGAGCTTCATCCATACATGCATTGCTTACAGCTTCTTCACATGTCCTGTAGAGGTGCCTGGACCAGAGTGACATCACATTCTGGCTCCCGGCACCTCTATAGGCACGCATGGGAGCTGTACAAGCAATGCACATATGGATGGAGCTCCATCACAGCACAACAACCCACACTGTTGTGCATTCCATTGCAGTGTGACTTAGGTCGCGACTTAATGACCATGGACAAATGTGGGTCCTGAGGTTGCACAGGTTGAGAACCACTGCCCTAGACCATGGGTAGCCAAACCTTAGCCCTCCAGCTGTGCTGAAACTACAAATGCCATCATGCCTATGCCTCTTCAGGTCATGCCTGTGGCTATCAAGAGTCTTGCAATGCCTTTGGGACTTGTAGTTCCACAACAAAGGGAGGGCCAAAGTTTGGCTACCCCTGCTCTAGACTGTGGCCTCTGCTGCCTTACCACACATCCAGGCCAGACTGCTTATACTGCCATACCCCAGAAAAGAGACCGCCCGATTCTCTATTAAATCCCAAAGCTATTAAAGTTTACAGCCGTCTGTGTTCCCACAGAGAATTCCCTTGTTCCGGTGACCACACTGGAAATGAAGAGTGAGCCAGAGCCATAGCAAACCAAAACACACACACACCTCTATCTATATACATACACACACACACACACACACACACACACACACACACCTATCCATAGCTCTCTCTATATACATACACACACACCTCTCATATATATATATATATATACATATACACATACACACACCTCTCTATATATACACACACACAGCTCTATCCATAGCTCTATCTATATACATACACACCTCTCTCTATATACATATACACACACACACACACCTCTATCCATAGCTCTCTCTATATACATACACACACCTCTCTCTATATACACACACACACACACACACACACCTCTCTCTATATATACACACACACACACACACACACACACCCCTCTACAAATCC